ACCCTAAACCGATCTGTAAAAGGCTTGGCGCGGGCGGCGAAAAAAATTGAAGACGACTCTTTTACAAAAAGATCTATAATAAGAGGACCCTCAACGACAAGTCAACCAATCTGGTCGTTCCGATGTGACGATGTAACGCAGATCTTCTTGTCGACGGAGAAACTGGTTATCGCCCCACAGCAAGCGATAGCTGCTCAAACGACTGTGAGAGGTCTTGAAATCGTCTCAGCTACCCAGAACTGCTGGTAGTTCTCGGAGGTTTGCAGTGCGGGCTGAGATCGGCCTTTTCGACCCGGTCGGGCAAGGGGTCCGCTATGCTACTGAAAACTCCACAGACGGAAAAAAAAGACTTTTGATCGACTGAGACCCAAGATAGAGCTTGGGAATGGGCGAGAAAGAGGCAGCCAATTCCGTCGAAGCATGACGCTTTTCCCACAATTGCGATGATACAATAAACCAACAACAACAAGACACGTGCTTTCAGCAAAGCGGTCGTTTCGGTATAAGGCGACGGTAGCTTCCTAGGCTTGCAATAGACTTGCCCGAGGGCCCTTTTCGAGGAGACCAGCACGCATAGCACCACCGTCACAAATACTGTGGGTGTCCTTGACAATTCGAGCTTGGGGTCCTGCGAGGGTAAAGAATCATCACCGGCAAACGCATATAGGTCGCACGAAACCCATGCCTCACGAAGACCGAACGAACTGGTCCAAGCATCAAGTATTGATGCAGAGTCGTAATAGGTTGTGGTTAGGCCATGTCGATTTCTAGCATAACAAAAGGATGGAACTTAGGTGGAATTGGCATCGGGGCGCCGTACAAGCAACTTTGAGATGTGTATTCGCACTCCGGACGCGCACAATATCGGTGCAGGTACAGCCTGTTGTATTGAGTGCCCCCAGGGTGTGTGGTATCTTGTGTCACGTGCGGCTTTCAATTTGTTTCTCTCTCCTCGACGGGTAGCGGTTCCCGCGCATAACCCCGGGGCTAGTGTGCGGCCGCGTATGCCGCCGCAGCAAAGCCGGTGCTACCATCGGGACCACCGGCTGAAGACAACCGTAGCAGTAGATGGAGGACTCAACAAATCAGCTATGTCGTCCTCGATTACCTTACGGGCTTTGCAGCTCAAGCCTTTGCATCGCATTTCGAGCATCAATTAGCAAGAAGTATATCACACACAGAAACGTACACCTAAAATATGGTCAAATGTGGCGCGCAGCATGAAGGACCCTATTTCTCTGTTCAACCCGCCGTCCCCATGGCGAAACAGACGAGGGACAGTCAAGCCAAGTCGTGTCGGTCACAACGGAAGCTGCTCAAACTCTGGGAAGGGGCATGGTCCGCGATTCCCCACCGAACCATACTTCAGGGGCCACGAGATTCTCAATACCGCTCGAGATCAGGGTTTGAGACCGGACCGGGCAAGGGGTGGGCTATGCGAATAACAATGACAGACAGAAAAAGTAAATTCAGGTCGATAGAGACCCAAGTTCTAGCGAGCTTGGGAAATCGGAAAACGAGTTGAGTCCGACGTACATGAAAAGCGGGTGAGATATTACAGCAGTCCGAACTTGGAGCACAGCGTATACACACACGTGGTGCGTTGCGACACGGCTTGCGCTGCTCGTGGCACTTAACCTCCGTGAGAGATCGTGCCGGTGGACTCTTGCATCAGTACGAAGAATTCTCAGGGGAAAAACGGTGTCGGAAAAACACAGTTATCTCGTCGGTGAGACCGGATAGAAAACAGAGTGGCGGGATGGGGGCTGCACGATCCAAACAGGATACCGACGGAAACCCAGGTAAACTTGCGTCCAAAACGCGCCCACGCACTCAACATAGGGTAAACCAATTCTTCTATGCCTCTGCAGCATCCAGTCGCCAGATACCACTAAAGAAATTCTAGAAACGTACTTTCGTAGGTAAGGCGATTCACCAATCTGTGACACTCAGAAAATAAGGTGCTGAAACTACGAATATCAAGAAAAAAAAGTGTTGTCTCTTCAGAATAAAACTTCTGGAATATCGCATACAAAAAAGTAAAAGGACAGACTTGTCCTATCAAACGCACTCTGCTCTTTCAGCAGTATAAGACACAAAGAGCACGCCGCGCTACTGCGCGTCTCACTACTAGGTAACCCTGACACAACCCTAGGTACTTACCAACGTTACCCATGTAGACGTTTGATGTACGATGCGATATATATATTCCCAACATCATCTAGAGCTACTGCCCATTCTTCGAAAAAAGGATACACCTTCCACTAGATACCATCAACGACTTGATCTTTAACCAGTTTGTGCGTGAAACCTCCAACAAGGTTCACCTTGCACAACCTGGCCGGCTTTACATTTTGCCAGGAACATCCACTGGAGGTTGTAAGTGGTCTCCCAACGTCCTTCCAACCAAGGGTAGGCCTGTATCGACAGTGCGAAGAGTAGGGGCAATCGCGGTTCGTGATTCGAAATGTCTGAAGTCGTAACAAAATGTGCGCTTGACTACAATAAAACCGAACCAAACACCAAAGAATGGCATCCACGGTTCAGAATCATCGACGAGGTGTTTAACGCCGTCTCAGCAATTAGGGTTAACCCTAAGTTGCAGCACGATTTCGAGAAAACTGAGAAAGGCGTCATTTTACGTGCGCGCTACGAATGTTAGGGAGGTATTTTATCAAAAAGGCATCTTGTAGTCGATATCGCAACGCCACAAAAGAGCACCATTACTGACCTCGACCTCATGAACTAAGGACCTCGACCTCCCCGACCTCCAGCAGGGGCCGGCGTAGTTCCACCGACAGACGTAGGGGCCGGCGTACCACGCCCTCCACCACGACCACCGGTAGGGGCCGGCGTAGTTCCACCGACAGACGTAGGGGCCGGCGTAGTTCCACCGACAGACGTAGGGGCCGGCGTAGTACCACCAACAGACGTAGGGGCCGGCGTTCCGGCGATCATCGTAGGGGTCGGCGTACCACGCCCTCCACCACGACCTCCGGTAGGGGCCGGTGTAGTGCCACCAACAGACGTAGGGGCCGGCGTAGTACCAACGACAGACGTAGGGGCCGGCGTCCCGACGATCATCGTAGGGGTCGGCGTACCACGGCCTCCACCACGACCTCCGGTAGGGGCCGGTGTAGTGCCACCAACAGACGTAGGGGCCGGCGTAGTACCAACGACAGACGTAGGGGCCGGCGTAGTACCACCGACAGACGTAGGGGCCGGCGTAGTACCACCAACAGACGTAGGGGCCGGCGTTCCGGCGATCATCGTAGGGGTCGGCGTAGTTCCACCGACAGACGTAGGGGCCGGCGTAGTTCCACCGACAGACGTAGGGGCCGGCGTAGTACCACCAACAGACGTAGGGGCCGGCGTTCCGGCGATCATCGTAGGGGTCGGCGTACCACGGCCTCCACCACGACCTCCGGTAGGGGCCGGTGTAGTGCCACCAACAGACGTAGGGGCCGGCGTAGTACCAACGACAGACGTAGGGGCCGGCGTAGTACCACCAACAGACGTAGGGGCCGGCGTTCCGGCGATCATCGTAGGGGTCGGCGTACCACGGCCTCCACCACGACCTCCGGCAGGGGCCGGTGTAGTGCCACCAACAGACGTAGGGGCCGGCGTAGTACCACCGACAGACGTAGGGGCCGGCGTAGTACCACCAACAGACGTAGGGGCCGGCGTAGTTCCACCGACAGACGTAGGGGCCGGCGTAGTTTCGGGCGAAGGTGTGATCATCGTAGGCGTCGGGGTAGTGCCGGGCGCCGGCGTAGTTCCTGGCGAAGCAGTGACGGTCGTGGGTGTCGGGGTAGTGCCGGGCGCAGGCGTAGTTCCTGGCGAAGCAGTGACGGTCGTGGGTGTCGGGGTAGTGCCGGGCGCAGGCGTAGTTCCTGGCGAAGCAGTGACGGTCGTGGGTGTCGGGGTAGTGCCGGGCGCAGGCGTAGTTCCTGGCGAAGCAGTGACGGTCGTGGGTGTCGGGGTAGTGCCGGGCGCAGGCGTAGTTCCTGGCGAAGCAGTGACGGTCGTGGGTGTCGGGGTAGTGCCGGGCGCAGGCGTAGTTCCTGGCGAAGCAGTGACGGTCGTGGGTGTCGGGGTAGTGCCGGGCGCAGGCGTAGTTCCTGGCGAAGCAGTGACGGCTGTGGGTGTCGGGGTAGTGCCGGGCGCAGGCGTAGTTCCGGGCGCAGCAGTGACGGTCGTGGGTGTCGGGGTAGTTCCGGGCGCAGGCGTAGTTCCGGGCGAAGAAGTGACGGTCGTAGGCGTCGGCGTTGTGGATGGGCCTATGTTCACAAATATTGGGGTTCGTACGCAGTATTAGTTTGGTGCAGTCTTTCTAGAGAATAAGACGGTCGGACTGAATACGCTGAAGCAAGTAAAGGGCGGCTTGGTCTTTGATATTGCGGCTTATACTTCGCGTGAAGGCCTCGCGCTGGTTTTTTAACTGGTGCCTCAAGAAAAATGGCAGCTCGACAGTACAAGTCATGCTCACAATGAACCTGATGTCCGGCGTTTGGCCGGCTGGTTCCATTTCTCACATGCTTAGTGGCGAGTTAGAATGTACATTAAGGTTTGACCGTTCAACATACCACCCCACGATCGAGTGAGATGCAGTTTCATAGGGGCCAAACTCGGAGCAACACTAGCTGCTGCCTCGACTAGCAACACTAGCTGCTGCCTCGACCGTGAGTATTTCCAAGGATGTGCGTTTGATAGTTCGACGTGTGTATGCACATGTACAACACTCGCTTACTCGTCACGATGCAAGGCGCTTCTCCCGTAACAGAGCAATCGAGATCGGCGATCCTGATTTCGGCACCACAGCAGTTGTCTTCTCCACCGTCCCTGGTACTGCAACCGACACCTCCGCAAGAACCGCAGCTCAGGGCGCAGCAAACATCAAGAGCCTGGACACCGACAATTCCGCCCTCGCACGTCCCCGCTGTTTTACGTTGGAGTGAGCGGACGAAAACCAATTGAGGAAAAATTGTTGCTATGCCATGCACATCGTTCAGGCGTACGAAACATGTCGTGCTCAAACCTTCAGGTGCCGGTCGGTCCTGCAGGCCGAGGCAACCTCACATTCATTTGTTGTGGCTTCGAGAACACGTCATTGAGACAGCAATCATGGAACAGAAGAAAAACGTGTCGGTCTGCGATATATCCGATGCCCAAGAGAAGAAATATGGCGCCAAGTGGCAGACAAAAACCGCACCTGCACGTGTAGGGGCCGGCGTCGGGGCCGGCGTCGAAGGTTCCGGACCTGTTGCGTGTTGGCGGAAGGGTTCGTACAAAGTGCGTTATGTTTGCGCAGTATTGCAAGTGTGAAAAAGGACGTTTGACGGAATACATTCGTTTTAGTAAAGGAACGGTCGTAAAGCGTTCAACTGCCCTTTTTGAGGGTGTGGGTCCAACAATTTGTAGATGGGGCCCGGGAATGGATGTTTAAATGCGTAGGACTCGCCTCGAAGGCAGTTTATACCAGGTGTTGGTAGTAGCAAATATTCAAATGAGAACTTTGAAGACTGAAGTGGAGAAAGGTTCCATATGTGAACAGCAATTGGACATGGGTTAGGATCTCTTCCTATCGATACGCTTATCGAAAATGAAGTTTACCGAATATGCAGCGTGCGACATACCTTTTTGAGAGCGGTACGGGAAGAGAAGGGCGAATATTTGCAGCGACTGAGGGCCCAAAAACGTTTCCAACGGCGGTTAGGGAAGAAAACATGTTGGCAGGGACCGGAGGCCCAATAGATTCGACGCAACTCTACCCTTTCGAAGAACGTCGTGAGGGTGTGAGTTTGTCCCTGCGACGTTCCCACAAACGTATTCCAATTAGCTTACTTGTCACAACGCAGGGTGCTTCTCCCGTAACAGAGCAATCGCGACCGGTGGCCCTGACTCCACCTCCACAGCAGGATTCCGGTCCACCGTCCCTGCCAGTGCACCCAGAACCTCCGCAAGACCCGCAGCTCAAGGAACAGCATACATCGCTCGCCTGAATACCGACAATTCCGCCGTCGCACTTCGGAACTGTTCGGTTTGGGTGAAACAGAAGCAGCGGTGTTGTTTGGTAGAGGGGAGTTCAAGTGGGACAACGCCTACCAAGCCTTAATTCATGGTCAATAGCTCACTACCTGGGTCGTGGCGTCGTCGTGAGCGCGATATATGCCCTGCAGATCACAACATGCGCTGACCTGTGCATCCACCCAAATCATTTGGAATGGGCGCGACAGGCGCCCGTGCTACATGAGGCATTTAAGACTATCAGTCTCTTGATGATCTATCACTACCAGGTATTATATCACGACAACTATCAATACATCATGACATCAACATATATATGGGATGCCGAAGGTATACTGTCGTTTTGAACGCAAGGCAGCAACAGAGCACCGCTTACCTTCAACTGTAGGAGGTGGCGTAGGGGCCGGCGTAGGGGCCGGCGTAGGGGCCGCGCCTGTTTTTTATAGTGGGGAAGTTTTCGAACCATATTATTGTTGGGCATTGTTTCTAAATACAAGATGAAGTTCGACTGAAAACGTTGATGCAGGGAGTACTGCAGGAATTTATGTTATTTTACTGGGAATAAATGTTGTACTGATGCTTCTTGGTAGTTCAGGGTTTTACATTGTTGTGTCAACAAGCGCATGGAAGCAGATAATTTACAAAGAACATGTTACGGTCACTGGTATTCATATCTTATCTCTATGTGGCTGCCCGTTAACATTCTTCGGAGCAGTTTTGTTAGGTTTTGTCACACGCATGTGGATCAAGTTTCAACCGTTTAATATACCTCTCCGAAGACGGAGTAAACGGACAAGAGGTGACATGTATTACTATGCAGTGATCGAAGCAAACGTCGGAGGAGCAAACTTTAACGACAATGTTACCACTACAGTAGTGCAAACAAGCTTCGCTATTGACTCACCCGTCATGCAGGGCGCTTCTCCCGTGACGGAGCAGTACCGACCGGAACCCCTGACTCCGCCACCACAGCAGGATTCCGATCCACCGTCCCTGCCACTGCACCCAGAACCTCCGCAAGACCCGCAGCTTGCGGAGCAGCACACATCGCTTGACTGGATGCCGACAATTCCGCCGTCGCACATCGGGACTGCTCGGTATGCATGAGACAAAATTCATGACAGACGCCATCGTAGACGTCAGTTCAAGTGAGACAACGCCACACATGTGCGCACCAGTCGAACGGTCGATGACCGCTCCGATGGAGCACAACATGCGCTGACCTACATCTCAAATAGGTGCGACGGACAACCATGCTACATGAGCATTGCTAGGGTGCTTTAAAGATCACTGTACGGATCGAAGCTGCACCACCAAGCACGTGCAGTTTCAAGGGAGGTGCAACTATTTTCAGACGTCGTGCACAATGGACATTGTTCAGGTCGGCAACATTTGATTGCGATGCTGAAGGTGAACAGTAGTTTTGAACGCAAGGCAGCAGCGGAGCACCGCTTACCTTCAACTGTAGGGGGTGGCGTAGGGGCCGGCGTAGGTTCCGGGGTAGGGGCCGGGCCTGCTTCCACAATTTGGGGCGGGCGTTCGAATAGAGTGCTGTTGGCGTTGTGATGTTATATGACGTTCGATTAAAAACATCGATGCAGGTAAAAGGGACTTGGTGATCGGCAACGAGGCTTGCTTCGGGGTACAATACTGCTGTGTCAACATGTTACTGGAAGCACAGAATTAGTCTCGACAAAGTACGTGTTAAGGTCATTGCAAATCATATAATATACATATGTGGCTGCCCGTTCAATTCTTGTCAGCAATTTCCTTGGCTTGTAACTCCACCGTGTGGATCAAGCTCCAGTCGTTCAACATACTGTCTCCCACATCAGGCGAAGGCACGGAAGGGAACACATGCATGTTGAGTAATGATCGAGGGCCAGGCCTTGGAGGATGGTGCTACCAAACTGCAATTCCATCACCTCAATGTGCGAACAAGAGTCGATCGTTCCTATTGGCTCACCGGTCATGCACGGCGCTTCTCCCGTAATGGAGCAGTACCGACCGGAAGCCCTGACTCCGCCACCACAGCAGGATTCCGATCCACCGTCCCTGCCAGTGCACCCAGAACCTCCGCAGGACCCGCAGCTTGCGGAGCAGCACACATCGCTTGACTGGATGCCGACAATTCCGCCGTCGCACATCGGGACTGCTCGGTATGCATGAGACAAAATTCATGACAGACGCCATCGTAGACGTCAGCTCAAGAGAGACAACGCCACATATGTGCGCATCAGTCGAACGGTCGATGACCACTCCGATGGAGCACAACATGCGCTGACCTGCATCTCAAATAGGTGCGACGGACATCCATGCTACATGAGCATTGCTAGGGTGCTTTAAAGATCACTGTACGGATCGAAGCTGCACCACCAAGCACGTGCAGTTCCAAAAGAGCCGCGACTGCTGTAAAGACAGGAAGGTTTGTTCGAAGAGCAGATAGAATAAACTGGTGTTTATTTTGTAACAGTCGAATTAGAATTTGGCTTCATTTTCTATCGGAAACCCAGGGTCACGGTGTTTGGATTTATTATTGAAGTCTATAGCTGGGGATGTCATTCCGTGATCGAGTCCACGCAGGGGCTGTAGCAAAGTCGGGTAACGTGTGAGAGCTACAGAGCGCGTGAAGCAACGGAAGGACAGCAGCAGCCGCCTAACGCAGTAGCGGCTGCAATTTAGAAAATCCCGCCCTCCCATCCCTTTGTATTATTGTTCAGGTCGGCAACATTTGATTGCGATGCTAAAAGTATACAGTAGTTATGAAAGCAAGGCAGCAACGGAGCACTGCTTACCTTCAACTGTAGGGGGCGGCGTAGGGGCCGGCGTAGGTTCCGGGGTAGGGGCCGGACCTGCTTCCACAAATTGGGCAAGGCGTTGAAGAGAATACTGTTGGCGCAGTGTTGTAACATGACGTTCAAAATGAGTACATCGGTGCAGGTATTAGGGACTTGGTGATCGGCAACGAGGCTTGCTTCTGGGTATAACACTGCTGTGTATAATATCCAACTGTGCCTGTCCGTTTCAATTCTTGTGAACAAGCAACTTCGATTTTCCACCGTGTGGTTTAAGTTCCAATCGCTCAACGTACTGTCTCCCACATCAGGCGAAGGCACGGGAGGGAGCATACGCACATACATGTAACGATCGAGGGCAAGGCATTGGAGGAGCACGCTCTATGATAAGTGTCACCAAAACTTCGAGTCCATCAAATCAATGTGCAAACAAGCGTCGATCGTTCCTCTTGGCTCACCGGTCATGCACGGCGCTTCTCCCGTAATGGAGCAGTACCGACCGGAAGCCCTGACTCCGCCACCACAGCAGGATTCCGATCCACCGTCCCTGCCGGTGCACCCAGAACCTCCGCAAGACCCGCAGCTTGCGGAGCAGCACACATCGCTTGTCTGGATGCCGACAATTCCGCCGTCGCACATCGGGACTGCTCGGTTAATACGAAGACGGCATTCAAAACACAGCCGCCTCAGAAATGAGTTTCAAGTGAGACAACGCCGATCAGACGTCATTATCGTTCAATTACGAACTACTTGCGACCCTGCGGGTTGTAGGTGTTTGTTTCAGCTTGAAGCCGATGTTCGGCGAAGTATAGTCAAGGTTCAGAGTCAGTCAAAAATAATTAGCCGAACAGATATTCGAGACAGGACATGACAGTGGTAAACGTGGGGGCAAACAACAAATGATCATGCCCTCCAGATGCAACCCGAAACAAGCTGACCTACATGACAAGCGTTTCGAATAGGCACGATAGGCATCCGTCCTCAAAACCCGGGTCGGTCAATTACTGTCGTCATTCTCTAACCTAGAACTTCGAAGCTGTCGCCTCAACCACGTGCAGTTTCGAGGAGCCACGACTAAGGCGACCCGTACAGTGGACACTACTTTTCAGATCGGCATGCAATGCTGAAGGTGTCCTGTACGTTTTAAAGCAAACCAACAAAGGAGAACCACTTACTTTCAGGTGTGGGAGCAGGGGTAGGAGCCGGCGTAGGTTCCGGCGTAGGGGCCGGGCCTGTACAAATTGGAAAAGTTGTCGAATTGTTCGGCAGTGTTTAAAGACAACAATCTGCTCCGACTTTATACATGGCTCACTGAATTTTATATATTCCTGCTGTGGCCATCCGTTTCACACGCTCGGGTTAAGGATTGGCCCCCCGCCCCCGATGGGGCGGGCGGTTACACCTGGATGGATGACGGTGAGGGTTTTGAGGCAAGTTAGGAACAAAGAAGAAGCAAAGCGACACGATAGAGTATACCGGCTGGGCAATCAAGACATCAAGAAATGGAGACGTTCGCAAAGAGCGAGAGGGCACGAGAGGGTGAAGGATCGGCCCCCGCGGAACGTGAACCTCAGGTGTCTGGCCCATACTGCTGTTTGGGACAAATTACGAGCGAGCAGTTTTTCATTTTTCCCACACTAAAAGTAAGAAATGTGTCACGACACGTCGACCATTCTGCAAGTATATATATAGCATGATTCGTTACACGCTTCTAGGTTATTCCCGCATGTAGATGTAGTTTTAACCACGCAACACACCTACCTTTCCAAGATTCCAGTTCCGGAGGGGCCAACATGGCGGAGCAAACTCTAGAGTGCAAACGCCAGGGGTGTGAGTTTCTCATTTCGACCATTGCACAAGCCTCGATCGTGTCTATTGACTTACTAGTCATGCAGGGCGCTTCTCCCGTAACGGAGCAGTACCGACCGGAAGCCCTGACTCCGCCACCACAGCAGGATTCCGATCCACCGTCCCTGGAAGAGCACCCAGAACCTCCGCAAGACCCGCAGCTTGCGGAACAGCACACATCGCTTGACTGGATGCCGACAATTCCGCCGTCGCACATGGAGACTGTTCGGTTTATACGAAGACGCCATTCACAACAGAGCGGTGGTGCTTACCAGAATTAAATTCAAGTGAACGGACCCAGACAAGGGGTGGTGCTTACCAGAACAAAGTTCAAGTGAAAGGACGCAGACAAGATATAATCACTAGCCAATCGCGCGTTGTTGTCACTTGAGAAATGTTTCCTTATATTCAAGTATCGTTTCTATGTCATGCCCATTGTGGAGGTATGTGACGCAAGCACAACAAATTTCACAGGACAGAGCTGTATGGGGCAGCGCGAATGGCGGCAGCTTACAATAAATTTAAGGTAGTGGAACTGCAGGTGTCATATATGCGTACCGCTGCTTAGGGTAGAGACAATATATCAGACCGGCAAAAAATTTAGGGGTCGGATTCGACTCCTGAAATGTTTGTTGTAATCATGTATCGAAATTCGACCAAACACCACAAACAGTTCCCTCTGATCCAACCCCGACCACAAAACGTTGAGGGCGTTCTTTTCACTCTTTATGGTCTTGGAGGAAAGGTTGGTGGCAAAGAACTACAGTGATATGTTTCTCAGGAATCCCAAGCCGGTCTATTCCTGCGGGAGACGTTCCCAAAAAGAATGGAAGTAACAGCAGTAGTTTGGTAGAATGTACTTTCGGCGATACAGTGTAGCCACCGTGGTTTTGCTGGGGTGAAGTTTCTTCCCTGCAAAGTGGTAATACGAGTCGTACCACAGCGTTTTTCACAGGACGAAGGAAAAGCTCAAAGAAGGCTTCGCAAAAACTAATGATGAGACATTCGGCACGAAAATGTTAGTTCCATACAGAGTGTGTACAGTACTTCGTTGGATTTGTTTTTTTCATCAAGGGCTCGAATTTAACTCAAGACGTTTGGAACTGGACTGTCGTACAAAGCTTGAATCCGTTCCATTCGAATTTCCCGATTACGTCACAGTGATGCTGTAGGCCAGAATTGAGTGTCCGCTTCACACAGATCTTCTAAAACATGCCTTTGATGATCGAGGAGGGGCGGTGTTGCGCATTTTTGGGCCTGCGGAGAGGGGCCTGCAGAAACGGAGAGACCATTCGGCGGAGACATTCCGAGTGCAGCAACGAAATGTGCCTGCATCCTCCTGCCGACCTGATCGTAGATCGCAAAACACTTCGGCGCAAACCTACCAAGGCCATGAAACCCGACTGCTCTACCCGGGGAACGGCGCACCGCCTCTTTTACATTCAAGGGTGTCTCCAGTTGCGTACTGTCGACATTTTGTCTGGCCAATAGGCGCTCATTGGACTTGAAAGGTCTGGGTCGTGTCCAACACTCTCGATGATTCCTGGTGCGTTTCCAGCTTTCTGAAAAAATTCCCCGCTGTTTCACTGGCGTCGCTCCTCCTACGGTTGTCGCTTTGTTTTCACCAATATGGTACTACGAGCATACACTTTGTCGGCATTTATCGCCCACACGTCTTACCTTCGGCCTGGAGGCTGCGCACACTGCTGTTGATCGTTTGAGCGTCGGCCACATGTTCGAGGTTTCCCTGTTGACAGAGACGATCAAAGTACGCAAGGTTACATATGTAGGCGTCGACGTTTTCTTCAACGGAAGCAACCATATCCTTCGGTTCGACGCAGCGCGCGTACGCCCAACAGTGGTCCGAGACAAGGGCTTCATCCGCATCTATTTCCGAACGTCAACCGTATGCCATCTTCGGTTCATACCTCTGCGATGAACAACCAGGTATCTCTCCACAACGAGACACGGAAAACCCGGTTGGATAGCCACTTAAACTTTCAAAGTAGTGCAGACATGAACATGACGAACAAGCCTAATTCCGAATTCGAGCTTCCCCAGTTATAATCCCCAGTAATGTTTTACCGGTCGAACACCACGGACTGAGGTGATACAGCACGACACCGGAGGTACTTTGCCCCGCACGTGACCACGAGCAGAATGGCCTATACACTAAGACTGCATACATCGAACACCGAGAGTGAACAGCGATGCGTTGCCGTACTCAAACGGCCAGCGGCACGTTGCTGCTGTGAACACGCGCCCATAATAGCGAAAGTTGTCCAATTTACAACATACGTTGAAGGATTACTAAAAATATCTGCATCAACACGACGACACGCATGTACATCGGGTACTTAGACAAAGTTGGTTCATACCGTATAACCCCCGCTTTGGCGCCAAGTAAAAGGCGAGGAAAACGCCCACAAAATGCCCACAATATTTTTGTCTATTCGGATGACGCAGTCTTTTCTCTCCCTTTGATCTGTTGGTAATAAACCATTTTGACACCAGGCCGCGAAGTTGGAAACAAAATGCTCGAGGAAGAAAAAAATTAAGGAAAAATAAATACACACACAGAAAGACCACCCCTTCGAGATACACCCACAGTCGAACGGGATGTGGTAGAGTCTTTTCAGTGAGTGGAGAAAAACCGGCTGGGTACTGGACTTATTTCGAGTCTTTTCCAAGTATATACACTCATGATTTATATATCAGTGATGCCAGGTGGTGCTAAGCACAAAAACACTGGGTCAACGACAAAATATCGGGGAGAATCCCTAAGTTTCGTCATCTTGTAAAACGTAACCTTCACAGGGGACACGGCGCAGGGTCTATTGACAGCTAGCTGGTTTGTTACAAAAATTCATGGAGATGGAACGAAGTTACAAAAATTCATGGAGATGGAACGAAGTCTACAGCGGTACATAACTTGTTTTTCAAATCTAAAGATTTTTGAATTTCACGGACACAGTTGTTTCCCGCTGTTTTTTGAATTTACAAAACATATTTGATCCTTTGGGGTAACGTATCATCAGTAATTTGACAGTAGATGAGAAGTGGTCGATGTACCTCGTTGTGAGCGTTCCTGCCCCTGAAGGCGAACCTGGCAGAGACCGAGGTGCCGCTAAGAGCGAGTAGAACGATTGGGAGGACGGGCACGATCCCCATCGTGCATGCCGTCACTGTCTTCATTGTTGTGGTCCTCCTGCATAAATGCAAGCAAGGTGCACAGAACGGTCCAGAACGAACACTCGAGATTAGACATCGCGGGAAACAGCAGGGTAAAACCCATGTTTCGGGTGCAGAAAGGGGGTTGTGACGCTGGCTCTTGCTCGCATACTTTCATACTAAAACAAGAAGTACAACCTTCCAGCCAGGGTTACATATTGCATTATTTTGTCGTCAGTATGAAAAGGTCGCTGCAGCCTCTGAGAACAGTCAATAATATGCGCCGGAACCAAGCGGCATCTAACATTTGTCACAGCTAACCCTAACCGCCACGGACCTTATTTCCCTGATGGGAGGTTGTCAGCAGTAGTGTAGCGTAAGTATCAGCTACTGCTGTAAACCAGCAGTTCAAGAGGTTGGGGTCGGTGCGGCGTGCACGGCTGCGACAAATGTTGGATGCCGCTTAGTTCCGGCGCAGACTTCGGATGTTTTCGGAAACAGCTGCCACCTTCAATATTTCAGCACCATGAGCAAACCTGAACGCGCCAGCAAGCACGACGCTTCTGCATGATGTCCTCCACTAATGACAAGACAATGCGACACCCTTTCGAAATTGACATAGTTTGAGCGCCTTCCGTTTTGGCTCTTTTCACTATTATTTAGAACGAACGGTGTCAAGTATTACATGATTTCAAAGGAGGAGGGTGGAGGTAGACGCGTGAACTGTATGTTTCGAGCAGACTGTACTGCCGCCCTGTAGGAGAATCAACGATTGAATACTGATTTTCGTGTGTCTATCTATTGGTGTGTCTATCAACTTCAAAATTCGTCGTTTCTGCCCCCGTCATATGTGAGCGATCGCTTGGGTATCCTGCTTCGACGGTTTGCCGGTTGTGTGCATCTCCATAAATCACCGTTCGACGAAGTTGGGGCGACGACGAAGACGGTGCATCTGCCACCAACCGTGTTCTCCGGAAATTATGAAGGTCGGTGGGAACCTGGGGCCAACCGGGTCCGCACGCCAACGACATTATGCGGACGCTGTCTGGTCTTGATTTCTGCATGCAGACCAAGGCAGACGGCAATTCACGACTGCCCCAACCTGGTATGCCAAACAGGGCACAATACATTTCCTAAGCAAACAGAAACAGCGCACGCGTCGTCATCACATGGCAAGCATGCCGACATACGTTCACAAAAGTCTGAACTTAATGGACCTGTCGCCCGCTGCCATTGTGCCCGATGTCGGGAAAGGTCTCGCGGAGGTGGTCCAACATGCATTTTCTCCAGGAGAAACTGGCCAAAGCTGGGAGGAGGTGGCAGTGGTGCTTTCGGAAGGGGCGGAAATAATCCACGTCAGAAAATGGCGAGTCTTTCGTGTTTCCATGGACTATTTATTCTTTGCACAACACAGCATCCTTCGAGAAAAAAGTGTTTTTTGGCGCGCCAAGGACACAGTCGCGGGGGTATGAATGGAAATGAGGGTGAAGTGGACGTACGAGTTGCCGATGGGGGAACCGGATGAGGATGGGGCAAAGGGAAGAAGGGGACTTCATATGCATCAAAGCTTATTGAGTGACGACAATGGTGATAACGGCACTTGTGAGAAAGGCCGACGTAGTGGAAAGGTGACTAAAGCGATATGCGCCTTGGGTGAACAGCAGCTGCGTACAGTCGCTAACCATCGTGATCAGCGCCCTGGAGACGGTCGGGTAGGTTGCCGGTGTCGAGACTTGCAGAATTCATGACAAGATGGGGGACGAAGCATCGGTGACAACATACAATCGGAATCGCCTTGAATCACTGGCGAGCCTATGGCTATAGTGACGCGGGCAACGACGATAACAGACCTACATGCATGTGTGCACCTCCTTCTTGGCGAGGCTGGGGGGGAAACCTTGGCACTAATGCTCAATATCAGACGTCGGCAAGAAAATTTGGTGCAATACCATCCATCCGGTAAGCAACGACATTTAGCAGTGTTCCTTCCCGTGTACGTTGTAGTCTGTCTTGCTCCGAACGGCCCGAGTTCACACAGATCTTTTTTGCTTCCAGAACGTTTCCAGACTGGCTGGTGCTGAGGTTCTCCGTTGTTTTGACAGGAGTCAACAGGACTGACCAGGCAGAGCGGTCACCCCCCACCGGAGCGCACTCTGTTTTCTGCCCAGCTCATCAATACAACTAAAATGTACAACATACAAGGTTTCCCTGCGAGAGGTAAGTGATTTGCCTCCAGGGGGCGACGAAAATGGTCAACCAATGCCATCGCGGTCGCATGGTTGGTAGGCATGACGTTCGCTAGTGCCGGCTTGCGTGCAATCTGCATACTAAAAATTTACATGGAATTTGCATCAACAACAACGGATCAAAGAGACGCTCGACGTGCCCAAGCAGTAGTCACAGATAGATACAAAGACTGATCATCATGACTTTTTCGATTTTATCGAATAGAAAGTTACAAATTTACCCGAGGGTACCCCTCGGTACTAGTTTTTTAGGGGGATTCAGGCGTGGTGGTACTTCAATGTGGCGGTACTTTTCTGGCTGTAGGCGGTATTTCGTTTTCCGGCGGTACCGCCTTTGGCGGTTCCCGGTACTGCCAATTATGGCGGTACTTTTCTGACGGTACTGCAATATGACGGTTCTTTTTAGGCAGTTCCCGGTACATGTATTCGTTTTTTGGCGGTACTTTGTTTGGTGGTACTGCAATATGGCGGTCCTTTTTAGGCGGTAGGCGGTATTTCGTTTTTCGGCGGTACCACTTTCGGCGGTTCCCGGTACCACCGACTGTGGCGGTATTTACCGCCAGTACCGGGACCGCCCACAACGGCGGGAAAAAGCGGCGGGAATTTTCCCGATGTGTACCTTGAAATTAACCGCTGTAACAGTTGTGCGAGATAAGAACTCCTGTGTCGCGTGGTGTGTTCCCATGAGCATCAAGAGTCTTGGTCCCCGCAGTGGGTACGCTTGCGATAGTTGCCGTGTGGTTGGTGCGTGCACAACAATCACAGAAGCAGCAAGTGTGTGGGCGCGTGAGTGCGTGCCGCGGGGTAAAAAAGTTTTATTTTCAGTTTCGTGCCGTTCGCGAGGAGGCTTTTGGGGTTCGGATTCCCAACTCCTGAAAAGAAATCCAGTCCCAGCGAGACTTTAGGCGGCCCAAACGTGCACCACCGGTGTCTCGCGAGGCCCACACGTAACGGGAAATGTACCGACGGGTCCTCTGCGTGCCATGCAGAAGAAAGTGTGACAATAAACAAACGCTGTCCCAGTAGCTGAGAAAAACCATTGCTAAGAGAAACAAAATCGATGTCCTACATAGTCTATGCATACCAGGTCTTCCCCCTTTCCGGGATGTTGGGACATGCCATCCCCAAGGTGACTCAAGTTGAAAACCATCATCATCTGCTATGCCACCTGAAGAGACACAATTACCATCTCGCACGGACTCACATCACAGACTGCTACCTTCTGATCGCGGCAATGCACATACATACTTTCTGTCTATTACCTCTTCAGAACAGCCCTTAAAACAAACGCACAGGAACGCATGGGTATGGTGTGGCTATCCTTGTACCAAAACCTGTAGTTGGGTCGCCCCGACCGCATCACCGAAACATATACTTGAATAATATGCAAATACATGTCGGTTTCTTCTATGCGTGTGAGGAGAAAACCAATGATTCCGTGCAACATGCCTTGTTCACCATCATCCCACTCAGCACCTACCACACAGATGTATGTGTAAACCGGTGGCCAATCGGCAACCCCTAGAAATCCCTCAGCGGAGCACGCCCCCTTGAGGGAAATAGAAATTTCACCTACACGGTAGTGGGTGTTGCGTTGCTCCGGACCGAACACCTGACGTTGTCGATGTTATTGTCCTTACACTTAACACCATTCGTTCCGGTTGCCGCCCAGTACCTACTGATAATGTCCGTACTTCCGCGACAGGGACGTACACGTTTAGTTTTGGGAAAACAAGTATGGACCCCAGAAGGCCTCATCCTATTTTTGTCAAATAGAAAAGGCAACTACGGTATCTACGTGTAGACTTGCGTGTTCGCATTTCTGTGCACTGCTGTACCTACTACCCCACCCCAACCCGGCGATCAACCTGTGACCAAAAGCTTCAAGTGTACTACAGTAAGAGCAGGGAATGTTCCGAGACATGGTGTTCCAACATGAAGACAACCACTACTTTCGACCAAGCCGTGACAAACCGTGAGCCTAACCCCCATTTTTTGCGGTTTCTCCATGACGTCATCTCGCACCGAGATTTCACCTACCAAGCCCTGTGTTGCTACATGTAGGGCCTTCCGGCCGTTCGACACGTTTTCGAGGCGGACTGCGTTCAGCGCTACCGACGTCTGGGGTCGCGTCAATGAGATCTACGATAACTCCACCAATCACGGTTCGGTTTTTAGACAGATTCGGCAAGCATCGTACATGTAGATTCGGCAAAAACCGCTGACGTGGTGCACCTCACTGTCACGACACCCGTCAACCAAGAGCCCACGTCCCCGACTGACGTTACACAAGATACCCTGCTGCCGTTGTCCGTCCAACTTTCGATCCCAACGGCAAGCGGGGGGGGGTTGCGGCCGACGTCGCGCGCACAGCAATCTTCAAACTACCCTTCCAAGGATTGCCTTTCCTGCAATCTCGTGAGCCCTCGAAGGGAGGAACTTCCTGTATGTGCATGCAGTACAGACTATAGTTTCTATTTTCTCTTGTCATTAGAACAATTTCGTTTCGGTTGTGGACTCATGTTTGCGTGTTTGCTTGTTCGTTAGTGGTCTCCACCGTGTGCCTTGCTCTGCCTCATACTTCTTGTTATTGTCAGCCTGGTCCCTCTTTGTCCTCGCCATTTTTCATTTTATTTTCATTTTATTTCTATTTTCTCTTCTCCTCACGGTTTCCATTTTTCTCTTTTTTCACTTTTTTCTCTCTTTTTTTCTCTCTTTTTCTGTGCCAGATGTCCTTGTCTCTGCTTGCGTTGTGAAGTACCAAGATTGAACCAAGGGGGTGTACCTCTTTCTCTCCGGCCCATGATAGATAGTGACTGCTAGTCTCAGTTGATATCTCGCATAGCGCGAAGAGGGAGTGGAGGATTCCAGAATATCTGTCGTTGATTTCTATTGACTTGCGGACCCCTCGGGGCCAGTTTATTTGAGTGTACCTTTTTGAGGGTAAGTTAACCTGTGACCACGGGAATCGACCGCGTCGAGTGTTGGATCAGTACGGACATACATACGAAGGTACTGGGTAGAGAGAGATCGGAACGGTTTTTAATGTGAAGACAACAACAACAACAACAACAACAACAACAACATGTCTACAACACAACCGTGCTCCTGCGAAACGTGTCAACATGGTTTGTGTGTGGCACATGCTGCTGTTCCCTTGCTTGCGCACTGCTGCCACGGCCGTCGAAAAATACTTTAAAAACAGATAAGACTACTTGCGTCATTAACCTTCCACTTGTGTTGGGGGAGAACTCGCTTAAGCGGATTTATTTGACGTTTGCTGAAATAACGCAACAAGTACACTCTAATTTCGGCCTTACCAGGGCTGCTGTTTTCGTACGAGAACATCTTTTTTATGTAGCAGAGGCCTTGTAAAGTCTCTGTTTTTGAGTATTACGTTTCGTGCGGGACGAACAAAACAATACTTCGCCGTGTTCGGCATCACACGCTTTTGAGTTTACGCGCGATGCATTAGGCAGAACGACTACGCGAACATTGAAGACAAGCGGGATGGTGACGCCGCCACCGCCACAGCAATCTGAGAGGGATATGGATGCCGATTTGTCATTGTGAGCCTTTGGTGACACCGCTCACTATACCCGTCCGCAATATTAGGGATAAATTGCCATCCAGGTGAACACAAGACCAGAGCAAGCAATCGCCAATACAGTGAATTCCACGAGCTCACCGCCTGGGAATGGATTGTTGCCGATTGGTGTGAGCAGCACTTGTGATGCGCCTCGGGAGACGCACGTGACTTCGAAGCAGGGACAGAATGGAGTGAGACGTGGTGGGGGTGGCGATCTGGATCATCTTTCTTCGGACCGAGAGCAATGGGGTTGATGCGGCGATCGGGTTATTTGAACGTTGACCTGGCAGCATCGTCATGACGGGGATCCAGGCAAGAACGGGAGATTGTTGGCGGTGACTGCGGACACTACGGATATGGAGACACTTTTCCGGTACCCCCAGCAAGCTTGTGAAGATA